AATTGCAAAGCTTAGGAATTTCTAAGGAATTTGGAAAAGGAAGAAATTTTGGAAAGAGTGGAACGTGATATTAATTGAAGGATCATCGTCCAGTTTGGATTCCAGGTAACAAAGGACAAATGCTGCTTAAAGGGACCATGGCCACCCCGTGCCAAATCTATTTTCCCCAACCCAGTCCCATCCCCAAGGGAGGGGAGTCAGGACCAGAGGTAAGAACAACTCCTAGAAGAAAGGCTTCCTCCCCTTCCCTGGCCCGGAGCACCCAGCTGACGACCAGCTGAATTCACCCCCTAGGAACACTTCCCGTGTTGCTGACAATGCTGACGCCCCGCAAAGCCAGCCCCCTGGGGCTGCCGCAGGAAAGAACTCCTGTGCCCTTTCTCCACCCTACCCAGAAAGGTGCAGGAGGGGACAGACGACACAAGTCAACCTGAGGCATGCAGCACCACTGGCCAGATGAGGCTGGACACCCAGGAAACCATTTGGTGCTGCCTCTCTCTAGCAAGGCTGAAGCTGGGAGTTCTGGTGACGAAGTGAAATCTTACGTAACCCGTATTAAGAGCAGCGGAAAGACCCCTGCCTGGGACTTCAAAGCCCTGAGTTTTACTCTGGCCTCTGACACTGAGTGGCTGGGGCTCTTCAGTTTGACCATCCTGTTTCCCATACGTGCTCTTAGGGGCTGTGTGAGAGGGCCTTCTGGCTCTGCTGCTCCGGGAGCTTTCTCTGCCACAGGAACCAACTACTGACTCACACGGGAAATGGAAGTGGTCCCCAAAGACCCAGTGTCTTGGGTGTCTGAGGACCAAGCAGAGCACAGGTGGGAGGGGGGTTCATTTGAAACAGAACATATGATAAAGGACAGAAGAGAGGTTGAGACCAGGATGGTTACAAGAGAGGTGGGGGGCATCCAGGGGCAACTCAGGTTTCCTTCCTGGCCTCACACCCAACCCCAGGCTGGGAAGGCGGAATTCTAGCCCAGATCCCAGATGGAACTGAGGCACCTAGGGGCTGGCAGGAGGGGACAACATATCTCGCACTGAGCTGAGGCAACAGAGATGGAGCAATTTCCAGAGAACTCAAAGCAGAATCCAATTTTTAAAATAGGCAAAGGGCCTCAACAGACACTTCTCCAAAGAGGACATACAGGTGGCCAATAGACACATGGAAAAAATGTTCATCACTAATCATCAGAGATGCAAATTAAAATCACATTGAGCTATCGCCTCACACCTGCCAGAATGGCTCCATCAACAAATCAACAAACAAGTGCTGGCGAGGGTGTGGAGAAAGGGGACCCTCATGCACTGCTGGCGGGAATGCAGACTGTGCGGCCACTGTGGAAAACTGTGGCGTTTCCTCAAAAAATAAAAATGGAGCTGCCTTTTGACCCAGTGATCCCACTTCTGGGAATATATCCTAAGAATCCCAAAACACCAACTTGAAAGAATACCTGCACCCCTGTGTTCAGAGCAGCATTATTAGCTAAGATTTGGAAACAGCCCAAGTGCCCATCAGTAGGTGAGTATATAAAAAAGCCGTGGGACATTTACACAATATAATACTACATAGTATAAACAAGTAGGGTCCCTTACCTTTTGCGAACAGCCCGGATGGACCTGGAGAGTATTATGCTAAGTGAAATAAGCCGGACAGAGAAAGACAAGTACCACGTGATCTCACGTATAGGTGGAATCTAATGAACAAAATACTGACGNTCGGAGGGTCGCCTCGCTGGGGCGCGCAGGGTCCTCTCGGAGGGTCGCCTCGCTGGGGCGCGCAGGGTCCTCTCGGAGGGTCGCCTCGCTGGGGCGCGCAGGGTCCTCTCGGAGGGTCGCCTCGCTGGGGCGCGCAGGGTCCTCTCGGAGGGTCGCCTCGCTGGGGCGCGCAGGGTCCTCTCGGAGGGTCGCCTCGCTGGGGCGCGCAGGGTCCTCTCGGAGGGTCGCCTCGCTGGGGCGCGCAGGGTCCTCTCGGAGGGTCGCCTCGCTGGGGCGCGCAGGGTCCTCTCGGAGGGTCGCCTCGCTGGGGCGCGCAGGGTCCTCTCGGAGGGTCGCCTCGCTGGGGCGCGCAGGGTCCTCTCGGAGGGTCGCCTCGCTGGGGCGCGCAGGGTCCTCTCGGAGGGTCGCCTCGCTGGGGCGCGCAGGGTCCTCTCGGAGGGTCGCCTCGCTGGGGCGCGCAGGGTCCTCTCGGAGGGTCGCCTCGCTGGGGCGCGCAGGGTCCTCTCGGAGGGTCGCCTCGCTGGGGCGCGCAGGGTCCTCTCGGAGGGTCGCCTCGCTGGGGCGCGCAGGGTCCTCTCGGAGGGTCGCCTCGCTGGGGCGCGCAGGGTCCTCTCGGAGGGTCGCCTCGCTGGGGCGCGCAGGGTCCTCTCGGAGGGTCGCCTCGCTGGGGCGCGCAGGGTCCTCTCGGAGGGTCGCCTCGCTGGGGCGCGCAGGGTCCTCTCGGAGGGTCGCCTCGCTGGGGCGCGCAGGGTCCTCTCGGAGGGTCGCCTCGCTGGGGCGCGCAGGGTCCTCTCGGAGGGTCGCCTCGCTGGGGCGCGCAGGGTCCTCTCGGAGGGTCGCCTCGCTGGTGCGCGCAGGGTCCTCTCGGAGGGTCGCCTCGCTGGGGCGCGCAGGGTCCTCTCGGAGGGTCGCCTCGCTGGCTGGGTGGGTCTCCAGCAGGGCCCCGGAGAGCCCGCGACCCATTTAAAAGTCCAGCCACCTCGCCCCGCCCAGGGGCTGCGGGCGTGGAATCCCGCCCATTCCAGCGACCCAAGGGGCTGGGCAGCCCGGCTGGGAGGGGTGCGGACCGCACCTCNNNNGTGGCCCGGCCCCCGCGGGGCGGACTGGCCCCCTCCGCCCCCCCAAACCCCGGCGGGGCCAGTCTGGGGCCTCCGCCCACCCAACCCTCCCCTCGGGCTGGTGCAGCGGCCTGACCCCGGGCGCCCCGGCCCGCCCGAGGGTCCCCGAGGTCCCCGCGCGAGGCGCAGCCCTGCCGCCTCCTCACACTGCGCACTGCATTCCTTTCCCCAGCCACGGGACCCACGTTTTGCGGTGGGCTCTTTAAAAAAATGCCTCCTACCCTAGCAGCAGGAACAGCAGCGCTTTCATCCCGGGGCAAACATCTGCAAACACTCCTGGGCTTGCAGGGGGAGTATGTTACCGGAATAGAAAGTCCCGCTCCCGCGCCCCGCGCCCAGGCCCCGGCGCCTCTGGCCTGGCGGGCGGGGTCCTTGGCTTCGTGCGGGTGTTCAGGACCCGGTCTTCTCAGAGGTTTATTAAAGCTGGAGGCAGTGAAACAAACGGCGGGCTTAAGATAGACTAGGCCAGCCCGCCGGCGTGGCTCAGCGGGTGAGCGCCGACCTGGGATCCAGGCGATCGGGGTTCGATTCCCCGTCAGGGCACATGCTGGGGTTGCGGGTTCGATCAATGACTCTCATCATTGATGTTTCTCTCTCTCCCTCTTTCCTCTCTCTGAAATCAATAAAGATATAAAATTTAAAAAAGACGAGGCCACATCACAACAGGAGTGAGCCCGCCCAGTCTGCCCAGACTCAGGAACTTAAGTCCATTAGGAGAAAAGGAATTTTCCAGGGAGCCCTGCTGGGAGGGAGGAGGAGTAAAGGGTGGACCTGTTTCGGGTACACGCGGACTTCAGGAGACCAGCCCGCTCTGCCTGAGGACACGAGCCAGGCTTCTAAACCCGGGCAACTTTTGAGCTGGATCCTAAAACGTGACAATGATATGAATTCCAACATCCTTTGTGGTCTCCCTACTTCCAGACTTTTGCCCTTTAAAATCCACACTCCACACAGTAACCTAAAATTGCTGCTTCTCAAACCCTGCACCTTCATTCCCAAGACAATCCAAACTACCTGACCCCACCATATTGCAGGCTCCAGAAGGGCCCACAGGTGGCCAGGAGACATGAAAAAACGCTCAAGGTCATCATCAGAGATGCAAATGAAACTGCAGTATCGCCTCTCACAGGCTGGAATGGCTCTCACAGGAAATCAACGAGTGCTGGGGGAAGCCCTCCTGGGGCGCTGTTGGCGAGAATGCCGACTGGCACAGCCACTGTGGAAAACAGTAGGAAGTTTCCTCAAAAAATTAAAAATGGGCCCTAGCCAGTTTGGCTCAGTGGTTAGAGCATCGGTCTGCCGACTGAAGGGTCCTGGGTTTGATTCCAGCCAAGGGCATGTACCTCAGCTGCAGGCTCAATCCCTGGCCCTGGTCAGGGCGCATGTGGGAGGCAACCAATCTATGTCCCTACGTCGCTGTAAGGAAAAAAAAAAAAAAGCCGGGCGGGGTGGTGTCCTTACCTTTTGCGACAGCAGGGATGGACTTGACTATTATGCTAAGTGAAATCAGCCAGTCAGAGAAAGGTAAATACCATAGTATCTCACTTACATGTGGAATCTAAGGAGCAAAATAAATTGAACCAGAACGAGAGGCGTGGATACCTGGGACAGACAGCTGTCCAGAGGGGGAAGGGGGGACTGGAGGGAAGGTGAAAGAATTAGCCATAACATATATACATAACACAAGGGACCAGACAAGTGTGGAGACAGCCAGAGGGAAAGGGGCTGGGGTAGGTGGGAGTGGGCAAAAGGGGGGATGGGACTGAAAGAGGCTTTGCTGGGGACGCTAGACTTGTGCAGAGGAGGTTTTATTGAGTTGTACACTTGAAATCTGTATGGTTTTGCAAACCAATGTCACTCCAACAAATTCAATTAAAAATGTCAAATACACTTGTCTATATGCCAGATGAGCATAAGGTCACCACTGTGGCCTTCTCAGCAAGACACAAAGTGGAATCTTTTCAGGAGAAAATCATTGTTGTGGGGTCCATAAGCTGCTGTTCACTTCTGCTTTCTCTGCTCTCTTTGGTTCCCCTCTGGAGGGCAGATGATGCATTTTAACATGAACTGTTCTTGATGAACACATTACCTAACTAAATGATCTCAACAGAAAAGCATAGCTTGCCCCACTACGCACATAATTTTTCTATCAAACCATTTATGGCCTATGATTCAAGTAATACCTTCCCTGTAACTTTAAATTAATACTTCAGAGTCACGAGATTAAAGAAATGCTTTCTGATCAAAAGTCGAGCATTACAGTCTCAAAGTATAAAAAACCATGGCAGTCTAGAGTTTATTATAATGAAAGATGTTAGACTTTATCTACAAAAAAGGGTAATAGACTTCTTAAAAATGACAACAGTAAATTTTAAGAAATTTATTAAAGCATCTTATCACAAAATGGAAACATACAAATTAGACACATGCAACCGTCATCTCCCAGTCGTTAACATGTGATATATTGTTCCTGTTTACATAGCTCAAAACTTCAGATCTTATACCTAATTCACTCACCCTGAATACTGTATTCATTCCTCCTGAAAGTATCCAGGGCAGCAAATAACCAAAATGCAAAGGAAGTGCAAAGTTAAAAAAGACAATGTGTAGAGCACACCCTTCCCACCCCCTAAATAAGGCAAACAATGGCACTTTGCTCTTGCTGCTTAACCTAGATTGTCTTCAAAAACTACTAAAATATAAGACTTAACCAAAAAATCTTTTAATAGATGTCCAAAAAGCTTGTTAGTGTCTGAAAATAAATGCTTACACGAAAGAAAATGGAGTTTATATCAAATGAGTCTGAAGAGCCCTGTGTTGCAGCATTCTGTAAATAAACAAGACAAGAAGCTGGTATAGGGTTTATTGACAAAGGCAGAATGTCTTCAGGCCGGTATGTAAGGAGGTGGTGGCTCTTTTTCAGGCATCTTCACTGCCATTTCATAGGTTGGCAAAACATACTGAAGAGAGAGAAAAATTGCATCAGACTTAATTCTCCATTAAATCCTACTTGGAATAATTCCGCTTTCAGATGTTATATCCTAAAAAGGGACATACAAACCCAGAGAGAAAAGCTGAAGAAATTGTTAGCTAAGTAGTTCCTGAGAGGAGATGACTAGTCACCTGGGACTTTACATGCAGGTGAGACATCTGATCCAAGACTACTGGAGGGATGGAGAAATGGAGGGAAGGAGGGATGGAGGGAAGGAGGGATGGACGGAAGGGCAGAATTCTGCTTCTCAACTGACCCTGAGGGGCTATCAAAACACCTGGACAGGAAGCATGTGCCCTGCTCTTCCTGCCCCAACCACGTGACTGATAAAGTACCAACTACACCTCAGGTAGCTGCAGGTCCAGACGAAGGGCCCCAGTGGACCATGCTAAAGGAAGCCTCCAATAAGATGCTGGATCCTGAATTATTCATCATCATCCACAAAGGATCGGGTCCTTATTTCTTCTAGGGTAAAGGGCACATCTATGTAGGACAGCAGCATTCTAACCTATCTGACTCCACGTGTGACAGGCTGACCCTACACAGGTCAAATATATTCTACATGTTGAAAACCTGGAAAGAGCAGGGTAGCAACTAGAGGGCCCCGAGAGGTAAGCATCCCCTAAAAGACTCATGGAGCCCATCGATTCATCTCCCCACAGAAAATCAGCTTCTCCTTTGGACCATATGCATGTGTTTTGAAAGCAACACAACTGATGGTACCCTCATCCTCAAAAGTTCCAGAAGCCACAAGCCTGGCAGGAGTCACATTGATGTTTCCTGCCTAATCTCCCCTCACAATGCAAAACTCTTGGAAACCACTTATGAATGAAACCGAGCAGCCAAACTGAATGAGACTAGCTGCACAGGCTGTCTCCCGCCCATGTACCCAGGATCCCAGCTGGGAAATGCTCCACGTTGTGGATTTAGGCTCTTCACACCCTAAACCACGGTCATGGCACTGAAGAGGAAGTCAAGACCAGGTTCTTGAGATCAATAATGGTTAGCGAAATTCTAATAAATTGGAAGGTCACTCACCTGTGGAGGTGCTTCGAAGGCAGGGTACACAGCAATCTCTGGGGTGTTTCTGTTGTTGATGTATTTATAGCAGTTCCAAACGCAGTTGATCAGATAAGCCTAAGAATACAAACAAAACTTAGGGATGCAAGAGCTCAACAGACAACCTGCTCTAAAAGAAGGGGACTTGACAATGCTTTCCCCACAATTCTCTACGGAGAAACTGACATGCACCAGCCAGGTCCTATCTCTACTTGCTCTCACTTAAATGTCGCAAGTTTTATTATCATTTTACAGAAGAACCTGAGTTGGGGTAGCAGGTCTGATAATCACTGTCCTGCAGAAGAAATTCTGTTTCTGAACCTTCGTAATTTTAACAGGTTCTCCATCCAAATCATGAACCACGTCTAAAAACATAATGCTCCTTACTTACTAAGTATCCTGGCATTTCCAACCACTCTGCAAACAAGAGGGAGGACAAGTCCCTAAAAGCTCTACTCCTGTGTATAAATCAACACTGTCACTTACTGGGAACTGCAGGGAGCTAAGGCACAAGGAGGTGCAAATGGACAGTGTCGCAGTCTGAATGACACCCAAACACGGAGCCAGCAACTCACCTTGAAAATGATGAACGAGACAAAGAACATAAGGACGATGAACAGCAGGCAGCTGGAGTCCAACGCGAGGAGGTCGTCTTTATAGGGAAAATCCGGCTAGAAAAAGGGGGGGAAAGGCAGAGCAGAGAGGTGTCCAGGGCAGTGAAACTATTCTGTATGATACAATGATGAATACATCATTACGCATGTGTCCCAATCTACAGAATGTAAACCAAAAATGAACCCTAAACGTAAACTATGGCTTTTAGGTGATACTGACATCTTAGGCTCACAGCCGTAACAGATGAACCACTGTGGTTTGGGATGTGGACAGTGAGAGAGGTTTTGGGGGCAGGGTAGGGGATATGTGAGAACTCTGTACTTTCTGTTCAATTTTGCTGTGAACCTAAAACTGCTCCAAAAAATAAAGTTTATTAAACGCACACACACACTTGTAATTCAGCCATAACACTTGCACTCTGTGATAACCTAAAGAGCATGGTACAAATACATACAAAACGCACCAAAGTCAGAACTGATATTCTAATAAAAACTTATAAACAATTTAATTCAAAGTACTTTAAAGTCTCATCATTAATGCATGTTACTGATCAGTTGAAAGACATGTGTTTGCATACTCAGAATATCCCTAAGAGTCTAAACTGAGCTCACTTTCTTTCTTTTCACTATTTTTAACATCTTTCTGGCATTTGGAAAAACACTCTCCTACAGAGAACTCCCAATTTGTCCCTGGGCGACTGAGTTGCTAAGTCAAGAAGTGCTGATATTTATCTAAATTCTATGGGCCATTTAGTTCTACCTAGGGAAAAGAGTTTATCTAAAGCCAATCATCAGCCTCAATGCTCATTAGGAGGGGGCAAAGAGAAGGCATGCCCCTGGCCCTAGCCAGTGTGGCTCGGTTGACTGGGCGTCATCCCATGCACTGAAGGGTTGCCAGTTGGATCCCAGGTCAGGGCACATGCCCAGGTTTCTGGCTTGATTCCCAGTGGGGGTGTGTGCAGGAGGCAGCTGAATGATATTTCACTATTTCACTCTCACATCAATGTCAATGTCTCTCCCTCCCTCCTTCCTCTCTCTCTAAAAACCAATAATAAAAAAGGCATGCCCCTGATTATAAAGCCAGGCAAGATTATATGATTTACTGCAGACACACTATGTCCTACTGAGAAGAATCAGCTATATTTATTCAAATATTTAGCATTTGCTGTGTGCAAGGCAATGAACTAGGCTCAAGAAGAGGGGTATTACAGAAGTTAAGGATTTACAAACTGGCCGACAGAGAGAGACCATCTGAATACAACAGAGATACCAATGAGGTCTGTAAAAGGGGTAGTAAAAGTTTCATTTTCACGGCTTCCTATGTAGCTCACTTAATTGCTTTAAACTTGTATGCTTTTAATGGAAATGCCAACACAAATAATCTCACATTTTCATAACAAAGCAGCACAAAGAAATCTCAAAGGTCCTTAAAGAAGAAAGATCCACACACCAACCACATACTAAGTGTCCTCTTGGGACAAAACTATTCTTTAAGCCTCATCTACATAAAAAGGACAAGCACACTGTGGGACCAGCACGTGGGGGAGGCTATGAGATTCAGTCAGGAGCCTTGCAATTTTTCAGCCTGCAAGAACACTATCAGGAAGAACTGGGTTTAGAGAGCTGCTGACCAGGCCACAGGCCCTGCGCCCGGCCCCTCCTCTCCAGCCCCCCACATGCTGCTACCCTCCCACTCCTCTGTGCGCCAGCCACCAGCGTCACCTTCTAGTCCCTGGCACAGACCAGGTCCCTTCCTGCTTCAAGGGGTCTCTGCCCTGGAACATTTTCTTGTACTTATCTTCATTGCTACTTGAGTTAAATCTCGCTTCCCAGCAGCAGCTGATACCTGTGTGATACTCACAGAGCAGCCTACAATTTCCCGTCACAGTTCTTATCACAATTTTAATTCAGTAACTGCCAATTTTCTGATTCCTTCACTAGAAAGTTAGTTCTCCTGATATATCCCTAGGATCTAGCAGCACGCCTTGCACATAAGAAGCAACCAGCAAATGTTTTTTATGAATGAACAATAAATTTGGTGGTATACAAAATGGATTAGGCAGAAAATCTGAAAGTGGGGAGAAAATTAACAGTCAAATTATTATACTTTTAGTTTACTCAAAACAAAATTTGAACTATTTAAATTCTATAAGAACCACTTTTAGAGACTTCTAATACTGGATTATCCAAATGGTATGGTAAGAACATACTCTATTTTCATCTTACAGGTTTCAACATGGTAGTTAAGAGTAGTGTTACTATTTTTAAACACTTGAAAAAAAAATAAATACGGTCGGTTAAAATAAAAATAGTATCTAAAAAGCTGACTCAGAATTTCAATTTAAATATTTTACTTAAAATGGAAAAAAGTTTGATTAGCATAGACACTTACTAATTGATCCAGATATTCTTTGATTCTCGGCAAGTAAGTGAGAGAACTGATAGCAACCAGGCAACTGAGGACGAAGTCAAAGAGCCGGTAACAGAAGAATGGAATAAGCCAGCCCACTTGATACTGAAGAAAAAAGGAACAACCGCAAAAGCACATCGCATAAATGAAATCACTCAGTACGTTCAGTAAGGTCAAACTCCAAAAGTTGAAAAATAGGATACTTACAGAAATTGCTCCATACACCAGCATGGAACTGATTATAAACATAAGAACAGAGACGGCAAAAAGAACACAGGCATTATCTAAGAAAACAAAAACCAAAATCGAATTAAGCTACTACACAAAAAGGACAGAATTCTTCATGACAAAGTAACCCTTTAGAGCAGCTTCCAAACGTCAAAGTATTTTCAAGATTGGCTATGAAAAAAATCTACGTCCAAGAGGGTAAAAAAAAAATCTGCCTCAGCATTAAGTAATGAAGCTTAAGCAATTCGTACCTTTGTTTCTTGTTTGTTAAACTGCTACAACTCACTGACACTAAGGACAGCACATGGGCCAGGTACCCTGCCAGGAGACAAATCTCTGCCCAGAGTCTAAAATATGCAAGCAGATAATTATAATCCGGTGTGGCAAGCGCTACAACAAAAGCAGAAACAATTAGCGTTGCCTGGACAATCAGGAAAAAAATATAAAAGAAATAACACAAGTTGGGTCTTGTGAGATGAGCAGAGTTCATCTGAAGGGAAAGGCTGACATTTGCTTAAAAGACGTGTATTAAACACAGAGTGCTATAGATGCCCCCTCTTGCCTTAGACAAAATACATAATCTGAAATTCAAGGTTGTCCATTAATCCCTTCTTCCCCATCCCAACACCCAAACTCACTGGTCCACATTCCTTCACCTTGGCTTCTCCACTATATACAGGTCTGTTTTCTTCTTTGTTTCTCAAATCTTTCTCAGAGATTGTTCCTTTTCTCTACATTAATCCATGTTCACTAATTTTCTCACAAAACACCCAAGTAATTTCAAAAAATACTAAAACCACACTTGACTTGTTAAGTTTCTTACCACAAATCTTACAATATAGGAACCTCAGGTTTACTCACCAACATCAGGAACCTCTTTTAGGGGACCCATTCCCAAGGTCAGGATAAATAAGGGTAAATTCATACTTGAAAAACAGCTTGCATATGTTGCAAAAGTATTTCAGATATACTGAGTATAGATCCTATTTAACTGATTAAAAACTAATCACAAACCTCATTATTTAAAACTGATCATTAGGGCTGACAATCAGAAACCAAATTGCCATTATAATATTGGCTCTGGAAAAGTCTAATTTCAGCTTCCAACGAAACACAGACTGCCACGTGACCAAGAACTGTGTATTTTTATATTCTCTCAACAACAAGGGCTCTTGTAGAATTAAAAAAAAATAAAAATTTGACAATAAACACATCTGCTTCTCTCGACAGCGGTTACAATACTCATGCTTTATGCAATAAATTTGTGACCACCCCTGTAGCTCTGTCCAAGGCTGGAAGCCTGTTGTACAGACATACAGGAGTCCCAATAACTGTACATCTTTTTCTACACCTTGATTTTAAGAGAAACACACATGACCAGGAAACAGGCTGACATGAGGTTCAGTAATATTTTTTACAGCCTAGCTCAAGTTTTATTTATTGTTCTATCATGGTTTTTAAATAAAAATAGACAACTCAAAAAAACAACAAAACCAAAAAAAATGCCAGAAGGGATGTTTCTAATATGTTCTTGGTAGTTCTTCTATCACATTTGACAACAAAATTAAAGGATTATCCTATATCTTTGAAAAGACAACAAGGAGGCTCATTAAAAAAAATAAACACTTCAGAAAACAGTGTGAACAATTGTTAGTGTTTTCATACAACATATGACAGATGCCCACAAAACACTACCTAGAAACAGAAATTAGCCCTGTGGACAATGAATCATTTGAATTAACAATAATATTTTTTAAAAAACAATTCATAAATGGATCAGAGGAGGTCATAAATGTAACGAAGCACAGAACTTTATAATAAAAGCTAGTAATTCTAAAAACAATCAAGATCCTGTAATAATATAAATATAACAACATACACAAGTAAGCTGGGAACATTCTTCTGAAATAAATTTAAAAAAAAAAAAATTCAACATACAGAAATTATTCTCACTGAAAAGCCTGAGGCATAATTTTCTGCTCAAATATTAAATTTCTAACATAACTTATAATAATATAAAATTCTGACTACCATTTTTCTGCACCTGAACTGTAAAGGAAGATAAATGATGAAAAAGCAAACCTTCCATTCTCTACTACACTTGTCAGCTGACCTTCAAAGGCTCAGTCTTCTTGTAATTCTTTCTCTCTGATCACCACAGCACCAAACAGGAGTCAAAGTATACAACATCAGTTTCTCAAAAATCTTCTAGTAGTCCACTACACATTTTCTGCCTAGAAATGCTCAATTATGATCCTCAGTGAGTATCTTTGAAAAACTCACAAAACACTTTTGTGCCTCAGCAAGTAGAATAACTTGAACATAATTTAACTAATCATCTTCTAAATAACAAGTATCTGTGTGTATGTAATTAGCAGGAGATATTTTCAACTAAAAACATACCTGCCATTCTCTCAGATGAATAGTAATTGCCAATGACTTCATACTGAATGTTGACAGACGGCATTGAGTTTGGATGAGTTACCTCCACAGTCAGCAAAATTGCCATCAACAGGTTTACCACCTATGAAAGACATTTTATCAATTATATTATTAATCAGGAAGCAGTCTTCAGCACAATCTTTAGATGTCTTCCCAAATTCAAAATTGTTTTTAGTTGAAGATAAAAAATCGGAGACTACCTGTGAGATAAAATAATATGCAACACTATTCTAAGAATAGTTTTAAAATAAGTATTTCAGAAAGTATAAACTTACTTGTTTCTGAGAAAAGACGACTGACTGGTTTGATCCAATACAACAGAATAAATGACATGTGAGGGATCACTACAAATTGCTCATTTCCGAGTGATGCCTTTATGTACTGGGTTTTGAAGAAGCTAGTTCATGCAATATCTTACCCCACAGGTAAGTATAAAAGCCATTGGATAAACATACAATGGTCCATCAGGTAAACCTGAAACCCCTCCTCAGTATCTCCTATCCGGTGACAGAGAACTTTTGCTCTAGCTTTAAAGACTTTCTAAGATTTTGACTATGCCATTTAACTTTCACCTACTAGTCTATTCTACCCTTTGAGACAATCTGACCCCCTGCAGAATAAGTGCTCCTCTAACACCTAAGGTCAGCTGACAGGTGCCTCCAAATATGTCCTTTCCAGAAGAAACACTCAGGTACTTAAACCGCTTCTCTCACTAGCATATTGCCCGGCTACCTCACTAATTCCGCTTTGCTCTCCTCTATACACATGCCCCAGTTTGTTGGGCGTACTATTAAAATGAGCTAAGGCCCTGGGCGGTGTGGCTCGGTTGGTTGGGCGTCATCCTAGCACCAACAGGTTGCCAGTTCCATTCCTGGTCAGGGCACATGCCTGGGTTGCAGGCTCGATCCCTGGTAGGGGGTCTGCAGGGGGCAGCAGTCGATCAATGTTTTGCTCTGACACTGCTGTTTCTCTCTCCCTCTCTCCCTTCCTCTAAAAAAAAAAAATATTTAAAATGAGCTAAGATGGGCTGGAGAGAACACGTGGGGTCTCAGTTCCCACATCCTAGCTAACAAATTTCACTTAATGCAGCCTGAAATCTCACTGGTCTCCTAAATTTTTCTTTTTCACACTTGACCCCACTTAACTACCACCTGGACCTGTTTAGCTGCATTCAGAGGCCCAAGCATAAGCCCTCATATATCTGCAACAGAATTTCATCTTATCCACTCTGGCCTGTCAAGATTTTTTTCAATCTAGATTTTTGACACCCTACAGATTTCCTTTCTATAATAAGCATGTAATCAGTATTTCCATCTAAGTTACTAGCAAGAGGAGAGGGCGAGGAAAAGCTGCCAGAGGCTACCCTCTTCCCGATAATAAAAAACCTATGAATAAAATCCTTTACCTGATCCAGAGAAAACTCTAGACACAATTATCTGATAAGTTTTCCTAGGAGGTTGGGGGGGCGGGTAAAACTCCATTTAAAAAGGAAATATTTGTGCCTCTAGTTTTGGGTCCCTGCAGTATCCCAGGAGGCACCACTTCCTTCAAGTGCTCAAAAGGGTACTACTGTTAACGACTTCATAGAGAAACCTCACCTAGAATTGGAGTTAGGCTTCCATATCTCAAGCTCACAGAACCTGTCCTCATTTTGAAAATCCGAACATTTGATAGTTGGAATGTTTGAGCCTTAAACCAACTACTACGTTGCTCTTTCCTGTCCACCTGAATGATAAATAAGTTTTACCGTGGCCTACATTTTCCTGGAGGTGTTTATCAGTCCACGGCATTACACAATCTCTAAGAAAAGAAGCCCAAGTTTTTATCTTCAAATAAGGTAGGCTAGGTGATCTAAACAATGTTTCAAAATCAAATACACAAGCGACTAATATTTCTGAAGATATACTATGTATAAAATATACTGAAATATTACTTCACTTAAGTGGATTAAATATTACTAAAGTCCATTTGCAGACGGGAAAACTAAGTTTCAAAAAAGCAAAATTTTCTGTAAGTTCACTGAGCTGGTAACAGATGCAGCTAGGACACGATCTCTTTAAGACAGTCTGTGTCTCAGCACCACATGATTACTTACAACCTTTCCTAAGCAACTCCTGTTTTGAGGTCTTTCCAAAAGAAACTATTATCTAAGGCTAGAAAACATTTATACTTCACTCTCCAAATAAATGTTCAATAACATGCCTTTTCCTTGCACTGCTCGAAGGCAAGGTACTTTTTCAACTCCTGAAAGGCCTTACCAGGGAAAATCATATTTGCAAGATGGCTCCCAACTAAAGGCTGATTTTTTGACAGTTCATTTTCATTGCAATGGGTGTGCCCAGTGAATATGGTGCAAAAGTATGTTAATATGATTATGTGGGCTAATTATTGAGCAATCAGAAATGTCTACTGAAGTTATAGATTCTGTTCAAGGAAATAAACTTGGAATCAATTTAGCAAAACTCTTTGCTAAAAACAATATAGTCATAGTTAAACAGCTCTGCACAGAAAACCACTCTCATGTCAAGAAAAACATGCAAACTCAATTACTAATTAAGGACATGACACACCCAAAGTATTTAGAAGTTTAATTTTGCCTTTTTTAATATTTTTATCACATACAGGATTTATAAAAATGTCTTCCTTCTCTTCCACTTATAAAGTCGGAATCGTCCACTATTAACTTCTAGTATTAATGATGCCTCAAATTTCATTTCCGTGAGTCACCCCCGCCACTGAATAACAAAAAGAATCATAAGTCTAATCCAACGGAGCGAGAAATGGTAAAACAAGTGTCAGTGCTACTTCATTAAAAGCTCACAATTTTCAAATCTTCACCGAGCTCATTAGACTCCATTAAATCACCATATTTCATTAGAACCCCAACTTACATTTTAAAATACTGATCTGGAAAACCCATCCTGTGACCTTAAAAGATTCACCACTGCAAACCCATCCTATGTTCAAATACAGACCCTGCCCAACTGGAGTGGCTCAGCAGGACCTAGGATCTGGGAGATCGAGGTTCAATTCCTGGTCAGGGTACAGGGCTTGATCCCTGGTCGGGGGCGTGCAGGAGGCAGTGAATCAATGACTCATCATTGATGTTTCTCTCTCTCTCCCTTCCTCTCTCTGAAATCAATAAAGATATATTAAAATCTATATCTATAGACCCTGTACTATTCACTTCCAATTTCAGTTGATAGTTCTAAGTTCCATGTAGCATTTTTCAAAAAATACATAAAATTAATTTTAGTCTTGCGATATAAAATTTCTCTGAAAATAGCAAATATGTACAATTTCAGAATTCTGTTCCCAATTCATTTTTCCCTTTATTGTACTTAACAAAGAAAATCAACAAAAATGTAATTAAAGTAATTCCTTTCTAAACCTGGTATTATGGAGAGGTCTAGAATGCAGCAACTATGCAAATATGTTAATGTCGTGGGCAATGGAAGCAAGGCTCAATGTGCAAGTGGTACTATAAATTTAGTGGGTGAAGCAATATGGTTTGCATTATTTTCGAAAGCCTTCTGCACACCTTATATATGCAAACAAACAATAACAAAAGCCAGATTATTAGATTTCATTTGTGACAAAGAAACAGTATTAGGTCCACAGAAGCAGCAGGCCTTGGGAGAGTAATTCCTCTTTGCTTTTTCATTTCATTGCCACACCCAGCCCAGAAGATCCTTCTGTGGACTGTTTTTATTATTATTCTTTACTTTTCCCACAGCATATTTTGCCACAATCCAGTATCTGTAAAGACTATAGTTAAAACAATGTATTTTCTTCAGGGCATCCCAATAAGCAACTCATAGGCAAAGAAGGGGGGATCCACAGAGCGCCAAATATAGGTCTACAACTCCCCAAGTCAGCAAAGAATGGTCATCAGATAAAGATTAAAATTAACTATTTTTAAATTTTTAACTAGTGGAGGGATTAAGCAAAATCTAACGAACCAACCAACAAACCTCACAGACTGACAACAGGATGGTGATTACCAGAGGGAAAGGGGAGTCGAGGGAGGTAAGAGAAGGTAAAGTGGGAATGGTGATGGAAGACTTGACTTGGGGCGGTGAACACAATACAATATACAGGTGATGTGTTATAGAACTGTACACCAGAAACCTGTATAATTTATTAACCAATGTCACCCCAATAAATTCAATAAAAAATAACAGGAAAAAAATACGAAAAATGTTATATATATAAAATTTAAGTCATAATAAATGTATAGTATATGTATATGTTTTTGTTGTTTCTTACCTTATGTACAGTTACAAATGAGTCCTGTTTTTTGTAGGAAACAATTCATTTAACAAACGTCTACTAAGTACTCCAAATTAGTAAGTCAGTGATCATACACATTTTATAGAGTAAAACATACCACCTTCCTCCTTCAGGAAGGACATCTTTTGTGGTGAGAAAGGTTTTTAAAAAGATGATTATAGCCCGGCCGGGCGTGGCTCAGCGGGTTGAGCGTCGACCTAGGATCCAGGCAATCGGGGGTTTGATTCCCGATCGGGGGTTTGATTCCCGGTCAGGGCACATGCCCGGGTTGCGGGCTCGATCCCCAGTTGGGGCACCGCAGGAGGCAGCCGGTCAATGACTCTCTCATCATTGATGTTTCTCCCTCCCCCTCTCCTTTCCTCTCTCTGAAATCAATAGAGATATATTTTTAAAAAATGATTATACTAATGAGTAATAAGTAGTATTTAAAAGTACACTTAAGAGATATGCAGAAAAGGTACACAGTGAGAAAAGCAGATCCCTCTGGCTGGAAAGCAAGGGAAGTTTCCACCAAGAACATTTGAGGAAACCCTTAAAAAATTAACCCAAATTGGCAAAATGTTAACGGTTGAAGCTGGGTGATGAGTAAACGGGGGATTTTTATACTATTTCACTATTTTTGAATATTTGAAATTTTCCTTCACAAAGTGTTTTTTAAGAGTTGGGGGAAGAACATCATTTCAGGGAAAAGAAATAGCACAGAACAATGTGTTTGAGGAAAGGTGCTAACTTTGAAATACAAATGTGCTATACTCACGTAAAGGAGTCAGGAGTGAGGGCCGGAAAGGAATACAGCTTGAAGAAACCTTTCTTCACTTCTCTCCCAGCCACGTGACTTTAGATCAGTTATGTTTGAGACACTCATGAAAATTAGCCATACATTAAAAAGACAACAGGGTTCACCCTTTCCCAGAGAAAGGTGGATAATTTCAAAGTAAATTCTGTTGTCAAATGAAAAAATACTAGCCATACATTAAATCTTTCTAAGACCTAAAACTATTCCAAATACTCAAAATGCACTCTTATAGTACACCATTAACAATGAAGGAGGACACCTCCTGCAGAATTTTAAGCCCATTTTCAATCAATCAATAAACATTACATGGTAAATACACCACATAGGAAACTATTGTTTAAAATAATCTGTCTTCAAAATTCTTTATAGAAAACAACTGTAGAAATGCCACAATTTATTTATTTTTTTAAAATATATCTTTATTGATTTCAGAGAGAGGAAAGGAGAGGGAGAGAGAGAGCTAGAAACATCAATGATGAGAGAGTCATTGATCGGCTGCAGCCCGCAACCCGGGCATGTGCCCTGACCGGGAATCGAACCCTGACTGCCTGGATCCTAGGTCGACGCTTAACTGCTGAGCCACGCCCGGCTGGGCAGAAATGCCACAATTTAAATAAGCTCATTCTGAAATTTCATATATTACTTAACCAACTGTTAAGTCAGACATGCTTCATTCAAATCTAAAATGCCAAAGGCTAACACTTCAAGCCTGATGCCTATAACTGGCTCTGCTTCTCTATATCCTACTGCACTATTTAGTACCATACAATTAATACTTTAGTATATAGTGTTACAGTCACCTTAACTCTAGACCAGCAGGTACACTTGCTAGAAAGCAATGACACTGTATCAGATACAAAGTCACTGATAGGGCTCTGGGCCCAGGAGGGAGGGCTGCATCTCTAGGTTCCAAACAGTACAGAGGCAACCTAACGAGAATCACAAGTACTCTCCCAGCTGGAACACAGGCGCGTATCATGACAAGATAGCTAGAGAGGGAAGTGACTTTCCACCTCACTCGCTCCCATATTTTTTCTCCGTCCTTAGTAAAGGAGCGTCTGGCAAAAAAATGCAGTTAGGACAAATCCTTTGTTTAGAGATACTGTATTACACTTTTCTCTAATCACTCTTGTTTTCTAAATGTTATATGCCTGTAACCAACAAAACCAATGGCCTTGTCCAGTCCTTAATCTGGTTAGAATCTGATCACGTTTCCCTCCTCCCTTGTTGTTATATCCTAACTTCCACGTTTGTATATGTGCTCCAAAGTTCTTTGTAATACCATGAAAATCTTGAGGGCAGATGCCATGTTCAAGCCAAGAAACATTTGAGAGCCCTCTATGTGGCCTGTAATAAGAATACAAAAGATCAATGGCAATGGTCCCAGTGATTTATTCTTTTTGTATGCCCATCGCAGACTTTCCTACTGTAGTCAAATCTCTTAAGATTAACTGATTTAAGCCGTTTATAACGTTCTATTAACCAGAAAAGTCCAAGCAAAGTAAGAACAGCTATGGCTGAAGCATGGGAAAAGGGAGATACGTGAAATGTTTCCACATCAAGTGCTTCCAGGGGGGAAGAGATTTAAACTCCTGGCTCCCTATTTTGGAAGAATGCATTCTGAGTTTTGCTGTTTATAATTCCCACTTTTCCCTGGTTGCGGGTTCGATCCCCAGTCAGGGCACATATAAGAATCAACCAATGAAGGCATAAATAAGTGCAACAAACAGATGCTTCTTTCTCTCTTCTCATTCTCTTTCTCCCCCCACCCCTCTTGCTTACGCTCTTAAAAAAAAAAAAAATCAGCCCGGCCGGGTGTTGCTCAGCGGTTGAGCATCGACCTAGGATCCAGGTGATAGGGGTTCAATTCCCGGTCAGGGCACATGCCCAGGTCGTGGGCTCAATCAATGACTCTCTCATCATTGATGTTTCTGTCTCTCTCCCTCTCCTTTCCTCTCTCTGAAATCAATAGATATATTTTTTTAAAAAATTAATAATTAAATGAATTTTTAAAAATCTGCTCTGGAAAGAAAAACAGCCAATTACATTCAGATGGCTGAAATTGGGATGGTGGTTATTTCTTCTGGAGAAGTTGGAAATCCTTTGTTCTCGTAACGGAGGCAAGTCAGCGAGAAGAAAAAGAGGGAGTTTGCAGGCCAGGGCCCCAGGCTGCTG